GTCTCTTAATTTCTTCACTCAACATTGACTTCTCTCTCTGTTGTAAAAGAAAGGCTTCTCTCCAAACTCTTTTGCCTGCTCCCCTGAGTATTCTCCCACCCCAAGGGAAAACACCAGGATAGCACTTGAAATTGTCTAAAGGAAGAGGAATATTTCAGAGGCTGTTGATCACATTAAAGAATTAAGGAAGAATAGAAAGTAAAATTAAGAGTTTTGAAACATGAATTTACAGTTCCATGGGACACATGACCTGCTCACTGCTCTGTTAAGAACTCCTACAAATCCAGACTACCCTTTCCCAGTTTTTATTTGCATTTACATGAATTATGATTTTAAAAAATGCAAGCTGTATCATAGCTCCTTTGCCCTCCCTCTGTACCATTTCTGGAGAAGACTCACCAGATCTCCTCTAGAAAAGGACAGAAGCACCACTCAGGTTCTTCTGCTTTGAGCTACACATTGTTCTGTATCAGTTATATTTCTGGAGTATGCTGTTAAAGGGAAATGTTGAAGAGAAAACTAGAATTCATTAGCAGGGGGGAAAGAAGATCGAAGTGGAGGACACAGTGACCCAAATCCTTCCACACAACCTAATCCAGCACACAGCATGAACTCCATGCCTGAAACTGGGTGTATCCTGCAAAAGCTGGAGAACATGGTGTTAATAGGTGCCAGAAGGAAGAGAGAAATCCAGAAGGTCCAAATGTTCTTAAATTTTAGCACCAGGCAAGAGGTCCAACTTCTAAAGAACATCTGCAGTTCTTTTGGTTTTGTAGAAAAAAAACTGTATGAGGTTTTTTTAATCAAGTGATCACCACTAGCTCTGAACAGCAACAATTTGCCACAACCTCAGCTCCCAAGTGTTTGCAAACACTTTGCTGTAGAAAGGCTGCCCACAAGAACACACCAAATCATTCACCTTCAGAGACAAAATAAACCTATGCTTCAAACATTGTAAAATTTTCACTGTAGTATTTCTTGAAGTATTTGTTTCATAGGCTAAAAAGAAATGAGGAACCCCAGACAGTCTTTGGTCACTGCCAAGGCTGCACAGGACCTTGCAGTGACATGGCAGAGCATAAAGCATCCTTTGCAGGCTAGAAGTGAACCAAACTGCTTTTACTTGATCATAGTCTGAAAGGAAGAATAAATCCTTAAGTCTGATAGTTTGCTAGCAATACTTTTTGGATAAACTAGTACACTACAACTGCAGAGTATTTTGCATTACTACCCAGTACTGTCAGTTCAATTGTCCCATGAACTGAAACTGTTTTGAAGCTGAAAGGCAGCACACTAGTCATGATCCTTGCAGGTCTGTCCTGACTTGTATCCATCTTTGAAAACTTAAGCTTGGTACACTGATTTCTAAAATAAACAATTATTCTACTTTTTCTCCCTTGCCTTTTGCTACTACTGTTCTGGTTCTTGCTCTGCCATGCTCTCAGCAGTTTTGTTAAAATAAAAAAGCAAGAACAAAAGTTACTTCAACTTCACACAAACTCAGAGAGAGGTTTGCTTTCATGAAATCTTAAAAGGTAAATCTCAGAGTTCACGAGAAGTTGTAGTACTATATAAAATTACCACGACATAGGCACAGGACACTTAATAGAAAAAGCTCTACATTTACAGAAGAAACAGGCAATACTTTCAAAAGAGAGATCCTAACTAACATCAAATAGATTCTGGCAAGGAGGATACAGAGGAGATACAAACTAATAATGCACAATGGAAAGGAATAAGGTCTATCTGAACCAGTGAAATTGTCATGCTGCTGTCACCTATGATTTGAAAGAACTGATACGTTGCACAGACACCTTTACAAGGTACCCAGGTGTGTTTATACTCTAAGTCCCTCCAATATAAGCGGTTTAAAATTACTTCAATTACATAAAAGTAAAGACAAAGATCTTCAAATGCCCTGAATTTATTGAGCATTATCACATCCCCTTTAGCTGACTTTCAGTGATGTTTTTTTTCCCATATAACTTTACAGATACATCTTCAAGGCAAGGTACTTGTCATAGTTCTAACCAAATAACCAGGGCTTTAACAGTTCCATATAAAAAGATTTGGGTTCAGCATCCATCTGAGACTTATTTCATGTTATCCCTATTTTATATTCCTGAAATGTTAGAATACTTCCCCCAGAGCACTAGAAAAATGCTCAATAGCATAAATAATGAAATAATCTTCCAAACCAGTTGGCAGTAGCAACAAAAAATAATCTCAATGTTGTTTGGAGAAAGAGAGGCAAATGAAACAATCAGATGTTGCTGCTCATTTCTTGAGGTCAGGCAGGAGGACTTGCAAGAAAGGATTTAGCACAGGGAGGAGATGTGGGGCAGCTGACAAAATAAACAAGCAAAACTCATACACTATAACTTTCTTACACTAGAAAATACTAAACTCACCACTCCAAGTCCTGGAATGCTAACAGACTAAGTGCTGAGCATTTTCTGTAGATGTTGCAGTAAAGGCAATTAAAATTAAACTTTCTTCTATTACTTTTTAGCAGTAAACACAAGGAAATTCAACAGCTTTAGGTTTTATATCTTCTAGCGACTTAGCAGAACATACAGATCCAAATATTCTTCTGATCTCTATTCTGGAGAAATTATTAGTAATTTCTGTGCACAAATAAAATATTTATCTAGGTTTATGAATGACAGAACGATAGGCTTTCCTCACAAAATACAGATTACTTGACACTTAAAAGAAAAATCTAAATTATAAACTCTGCCTCGGAAAAGAAGCTGAAAATGCCCACAGCTTTTTAAAAGAGCTTTACTGCCCTGTGCCCAATTACAGACTCCAACAATGCCCACAGCACCGAGGGGTTCAGCATACCAGTACAAGAGAGAAAGTCCAGCAAAACGCTCTGGTTCATCTTCATCCCCCGGTGAGAGTAATGGCATTCTTCAGGTACAGCAGCAAAAACAATGACAAGGCAACCAAAATACAGTGGAGGATTCCAATTCAGCAGGAAGGTTATGAGCAGGATGATTTCTGCTGCTAACTATAGAACCCCAAACACAGAGCTCCAGCAGAGAGTCTCTGCCTACTTAATCTTCTCTGAAAGCCTCTGCGTCACATGGACTAATTCACCTATCGAGGTAATGTTTACTTTTTCTCTGTTTCAAATGGCAATTTATAGCGACTTTCAAGGCTGATAAATGAAAAGGAGAAAATTTAATACACTGTGATTAAGCAATGCAGATCTAGCAGCCAAAGGCAAGCGACATAATTAAAATAAATTTATTTTCTCCTGTTCTGCCAATAATTTATTTATGTGCTCCCTCCAAACAAGGTCAAAAGCTGTAACTCATGACCTTTTTAAAGCAACCTTCCTAGCAGACTGGATTATGTACAGCCACACAAAAGGGAAAGCTAACAAAGCAGACTGAAAGTATTAATGAAATAAATGCTATTATGCTATTGTACAGCCACACAAAAGGGAAAGCTAAGAAAGCAGACTGAAAGTATTTATGAAACAAATGCTATTATGTTACTACTTTGCATTCTCAATCATGGTATTGACCTGTGTCATACTCTAACTTGGATTTTAGACTTCCAATATACAGCAGGCAAAAGCTAACACAGAACTTGGGTTACATATTCTCTCTAGGAATGGAAGCTGACACATCTGTTTCTCTGTGCAAGGAAATAAAACTGCTGAATTTATGCCATTACACAGAGAATCAAAGTGGAAAAAAGTCAAAAATATCCCCCTGACCCCAGAGGTAAGACTGGGCTGAGAGGAAGCTTGGTTGGTCTTGCAGAGATACTGGTATTTTCACAAGTTCTGAGCAGCTGACATCAGTTTGGTTAATGACCATTTCCTTCCAGGCTTAGATGCACTGCAATTACTCCCCTTTGTTCTAAGGGATCATGAAAACTCTGCAGTTTAAAATGAACCCCAAATAGTCTGCGTTCACCGAGGGCTTCGTTCAAGTAGAAAGGTGAATCTTTTCCAGCAAGGAGCAACCCTGTGATCAGACAGCATCTGTCAGGCCTAGAGCTGTGCAGCAGGAGGGCTCAGCTATGCCAGGAATGCACATACTTATCTCAGGCACCTTTTTTTTTTTTAAAGCTGCAGTGACTGTGGTTTCATTAGCAATTAATCCTCCTGGGGAAAGGATCTCTCTGATTATAAGCAATGCACTATACAGTGTTCCATTAGAGAGGTTAGTCCCCAGAGCCTGCAGAGCCGAAGATCCACAAAAGGGGCACAGTGACCCACCAGAGATTAAGGAGCACATCAGACATGGAAGTGGGAACATAAAGGAGCCTTCCCAGTTCCCAGAACGTGAGAAGCTCCATTGGCATCATTTGGATTGCTCACATCCATTCAGAGCTGAAAATTTGGCCCTTTCTAGCCTTTTCTCAATCAGTTTACTCTGCTGGTGTTACAGTCAGATGAAAGAAAAGCCATTGATATTTTATGCCTCCTATCAATCAGATTTGCTCTAGGCAAGGTTACAGAAGATAAAATAGCAATAGCTTTTCTCCAACAGAACCGTCACTGTTCTTAACACCAGTGGAATTCAATTTGTGGTATCAATATCAGGAGCATTTGTCAAAACAAATCACTCAGACCAATAAGGCTTGTTTCCAGTGTCACATTTTCTGCCACAAATCACCCCCCAGTAAACAGCACAGCTCAGGGCTGAGCATTTTCACTGGTAAAAAGCAAAGTTATTTTTATTAACCCAGACATGGCAACCTTCTGAACAATTTAAGCAGACATAAAGTAGTATTAAGCTTATTGCTCCCATCTTATTAGTTATTACCAGTAATGCATCACTTGTTCACATAATTGCTCCTCCATCAAAGTAAACTTTGTTCAGCTTCCTGAACTCATCCCTGAGGCTTCTATCCCTCTTTACCTCCAAATTCTGCTGCTGTGCTGCTCCTAATGTCTCAAGGGATTCACACAGAACAACAGGATCACTGCTTGTCTTGCAAGTCCTTTGTCTTTCAAGAACATACTCAGGGGAACACTAATTACCTTGTACTTCCAGAAAGATCTAGGAATACTCTAACAATTTAAAACTCCATAAAATCTAGTATCAATAAGTAAGACTAAACTTCCAAGAGATATCATTTGTTATTTTATGCAGCAAACTAAGATTCCTTTCCAAACACTGAGTAAACTATTCTGTTCTGACAACATTAGCAACTACAACTTGCCTTTCCCAAAGGAAGTTTTGCAATGCTTTACCAACTGAGATGGGCTACAGGGTTATTCAGCAGGCAACAAAGATTTGCAGAATCCTTGGAATTAAATTCACAAGATCTTTTTGTTATCAATAAAATAAAGGCCTTTAACAAGAATCCTAAGTCCATTATGCAACTGTAAACTTTCATGTTCACTAACCCCAAAAGGTAAAGAATCATTCTGACCCTAAGGACCACAGCCAAAGGAATTCTGCATCATGGGCAAGGGCTTCATCTGATCTATCCAAACCCACTCATTATACAAAATACATTTTGCTGATTAGGTCATAAAGACTAAAAGGAAACATATGTCATTATATGGCAATTGTTAACCCTGAAAAAAGCTCAGGCAACACTGTAATTGTGGAGAAGCTGGAATGGTTTGAGGCTAACCCCTGCACAGAGAAGACAGGTATGATTCAAAGTTTAGGTAAATCTCAGTTAACATATAACCAAGTGCATTCTTGAAGCCTTGTGCACCGATACTGTCTCCCAGAAAACAAAAGTATAGAGAATTACAGTCTGCCATCAGCATGTAGGTGAAATACAGCTAGAGGTGCCTTTCCTGTTTGTCTCACGTCCAAATTTGCCTTAGGAATTCAGTGATCTAGGAGCTGGTCATATGACACACTCCACATGAATTCTTCAGGTCCTAGTAAAAAGCAAGTTTGGTTTTTTTAAAATGTTTGGTAGACTTGTTCTAAAAAAAAAAAAGTTATGAGGTGGCATAATTCTAAATCTATCCCAAATTGTTTGACAATGCTCCTGCATCTGTTTGCAGGATTCTATTGCACAATAACAGCAAACATGATGGTCCAGCAAAGAGCTGTCTGTGCCTGGTTTTAATTCTGGCTTTGATGACAGCATTGGCATGGTCACTTGGCAGTTTGGGAAGGGTCTGGAATGATGGTTTCCAATCATGACTGAATCCATGTTTGCCATTTAGAATCTGATCCAGCTTTTAAGTGGATAACATTATGGTTTATGAAATGGATATAACTACCATTTTCTATCCTGGAGCATTGGTAAAATGATGATGGTTCCAAAGTACTAGATATAAAACATTAAAGGTATACAAAGTATTCTGCAAAAATAATGCGTTTTAATAGATAAGCTTCATACAGTCCCTTATGTTACCGTAGGTACAATGAAATAACCTGCTATATAAAACTATATTTTAGGAGCTGCAGAAGCATTAAATGAAGGAATTTCTATGCAGTGTTTTATCTCTACAGAACCAGTCCAAACAAAGTGCTGATTAACTTAATGAAAAGCTATTTCCTCCCTTAATGTGTAAATTCACTGGTGCTGGTGTCAGCTTTCCTAAAATGTTCCTTCAGACTGTTTCAGTATCAAAATTATTTTTCTCTCAGGCTTCAGCAAAACAAGATCCTACTAACAGAACTGCAAGAATTGTCATATTGTAATCCAGTAATTGTATTCCTCTGCGTGGGGAGGAAAAGTACTTACTTTTCATCTGTGTTTGCGCGGGGATCTGTACTGGACATCTTCTTAGGTGCACTACATTAATCGAAGTTCAAAATGAAGAATTCTGACCCATGAAACTCTGGCTCCTAACCAGGATGACAACTGCTGTAAAAAAAAGTAAAAAAAACTCCACTGTATGAAATTTACATGGCCATGTTTATTTTCACACACTGACATCAATCTTTTTTACTACTGACTAGTTGAAATCCAGTGGGAAAAGAAACTTCCTTGATAAAACAGACACTAAATGCTGCTGACAACAGTTACTGTCTTGGACTTAGCTGTATGTTGTACCAAAACATCTCACACCCTAATTCCCTCTTAATTTATGAGGTAGGAATTAGGGTAAACCTGAATCCCCTGTGATTAAAATCTTCTAGAAAAGCAACGAACAGATTACAATCCCAGGATAAAGTAATGTAACTCCAAAAGACAAAAACAAACTCTCCCTTTTTTTCCCCATGGAAGGTTACTTGGGGAGGGAGAGTTGTTTGGAACGTGATAAGGTGTTTTGTGTGTCTTGTCTTCTCATGTTTTTTTAACTTACTGGCTAGTATTCAGTGTCCATGGACTTCCTGAAGCCCATGAAGTATGTAGGACAAGCCAAAACATGCAAATTGGGTTACATGCCACTAATTTAGTAAAACCCCAGTAATTCACACTGTATTTTTATTAGCCCAGGAAATAGAAACCTGGATGTGCTGAGCTACAATCATTGGAAAAACTACTATAAAAGCACTAATGGAAAAATATCTGTTGGTATCAGTATCAAATCTGCCTGACCTTGTGAGCTGCACAGCTGAACCCTCACACAGGGCTCAACCCTCAGCTGACACAGAAGAGGAATTGCCCCTAAGACAAAAGGGACAAGGAACTCTCCAAACAACTTGTAGGCACACATTGGCCACAGGTACTCCTGGTACTGGTATCACACTACAAACCCAGGCCAGGATAAAGGAGAATCCCCAGGTGCAGTGTCAGTCTCCACAAAAACCCACTGACTAATCCTACAGGTCCGTATTTCTGTGTGAAAAGATGTTGCACTCACTTTGGAACACCACAAAGTTTTGTGCTGCCCATGTTTACAGATCTCTCCCTAGACGACCAAAAACCCATCATCTGAATACAGTGGAAATACCACAATATTGCTTCACTCCAGCCTTTATCATTCTCTTACTCAACACATTTAAATGGAAAATGAAGCAGGACCAGGAGCTGCCAGTCCTTGTGTGGTTCATGTTACTGGAACCAGCCCAGGGGAAAAGGAGCACTGGTCTAAAGCAATAAATTTAAGTGCTGTTACAGCAAAGTTTACTACAGTGCATGGGACCAGCCGCGTGAAAAACTATTGTTTGCGGCTGTGACCTTGCCCATCCTGAAGTGCTGTTTGCAAACAGCGCTCAACGCTTTGCAGCAGGGATCAGTGTCTGAGCATCAACCGCTCCGCACGCGGAGAAACGAAATTAACGAGAACCAAAACACCAGTGGGAAAAAGCAACAAACTAACAAAAGAACATCAAACAAACAAAACAAGCCAAACAAGCGGAGTCCGTGCCCGCAGAACGCGGGGACACGGAGGGAGACAAAGGGATGGGGTCTGTCCCCTCCGGAGCGAGTGGAGGGATGCGGCTCGCGGGGATAACACGGCCCCGGGGGGACCCCGAGGGAACCCACCCCGCGGCTCACCCCGCGCAGCACAAAGCAGGACCCGCGGGGACAGAG